CGAGCAAAGATGGATCTTTCTGGTTCTGTTCGTGGTAGTGGTCCATGAAAGATAGATGATGGGGAAGGGAGGGCAGGAATAGAGCTGAGGTAGATTTTTTCTGGGCTCGGTGCTGGTTCTGTTGTGGTAGTGGTGCATGAGAGATAATAGTGGAGTGGCAGAGGAGGGAGGGAGGGAGGGGGAATAGAGAAGTGGATCTTTTCTGGCTAGCTGTGTTGGTGATTGTGGTTTGTGATATATAGTTGGGGAGGGGTTGAGGTCACAGAGGAGGTGGGATCTTTTCTTGGCTCAGTGCTAGTTCTGTTGATGGTTGTGGTTCAGTTGTAAGTGAGAGACATCGTATTCCCAACGTGCTCACTGCTGGTTGTTTTGGTGGTAGTGGTTCTGTGGTTCGTGAGAGACGTAGAGCCAACGGTTCATGCGAGATGACACGGTGTAAAGGATGTCCTCAGTGCTTTTCCACCCAACTCTTCTATCCACCAACTTCACTCACCGGATTTGCTCTCAACTGTGTCTTTTGTCTGAATGAAAACCATTCCTGTGTTAAGAATCTCCTCTTTTTCTCGAGACCCTGGAGTACATGGATCGCGCAGAAGAATTTCCCCGAGTTGGGGACTTTGGGCCATGAAGCATAGGTCGTTGCAGGGAGTGACGTTGTGAAAGTTGGAACAAATTTTATTCAATTCATGAGGGGGGGACATTGTTTTATTGAGTATGCTATTTCTGTCTGTCCGCCTGGGTGGTGTGTGGCATTGATGGTCTTGTGGTTAGGCTCTCGGAGTCGCAACTGTAAAGTCATGGGTTCGAATCTCATTTTGGGCCCGATGTTGTGCCCTTGGGAGAGGCACTTTACACAAGTTTTCCTCACTTCATCCTGGTGGGAATGGTTTCCCCACCTAGACAACGAAAGATCTTGTCAGTCTGTTACAGTTTGAGCATGTGCAATCCACAGCTTATACTACATGCTTCTGGGAAGCTGAGAATGTTTCTGAGTGTCTGAATGTTCTAGAGTCTGCTTGAGTAATAGTAGTTGTAAGGCGCATAGAGCCTGCTGCAAAGTGTGGATATGCACTATATAAATGCAATTATTATTACTATAATTATTTAATTGTGTTGCAAGTGTTGTAAAACACTTACTAAAACTAAAGTGAATCCAAAAGAGGTCCACCTCCACTCTATTCCCCCCCGTCTTTATCTCTCCTTCTTTTTTGTATTTGTTACTCACTTGTAACACCTCTAATCTTCGGCAATTTTATATGACGTAATTTTTTTTTGCTAGTGCAGTAAAACATTAAGTAGATCTATACTGAAACTCTTGTCTGTGTGGGCAGGTCTGATCTGCTGCTTCCTGCACGTGCATCCACACGGAGCCACGGTGGACTACCTGTGGTCGTACCTGCGGCAGCTGATGGCGGGAGTGAGGGCCAGGGAGGTGGAGGACTTGCTGGAGAAGACGCCCGCACTGTTCCAGCAGGAGATTCGAGGGGTCGGGGCGGGGATAGAGC